GCGTACCTATAAATACGCCAATAAACTGAACGGGAGGAATAAAATCGGCCTTAGCGCTATGCAGCTTAACTGTGCGAATCATGTACAAATAAGAATTATTATCTTCGTAGGGTGACCATTTTATCGAAGATGCTAAAAAATATGGATTTTCATAAGTGAATTATCGGTGTGTGTGTATCTGGCTTAGTTATTAAAACGTAAAATTGTTCTCTAGTAATAATCCAGTGGCGTTACAACCCCATATGATCTGAGCTCAGATTGAATACCTTTCTTTTTTTGATTTGAGACATGGCGGTTTCCTCACGATGTTTTCCTTCACCGTACGAGCGAGTGTTCCACCGTGCGAGCGAAAGTTCATTGGGATCTTCAGGGAAGATAGGCACACGCTGAAGACACTAGGCCAATACTGCTTTTTTAATCTGGCAATTACTTGTTTCGCTGATTAAGATATAAAGTACCTACTCAAAGTGTTAATAGAAATGTTATACGTTCTCCAGGTAGTAGCACTTTTGACGGTTAAGGACACGCGTGCGAATCACGGCTGGGCACCGAATGCTTTACGGTCTAGCTGACTTGCTCCTATGGGCTAGGCTAACATCGCGAGAAAACCAGCATATCATACATATATGTCGTTTATGATATTTTTTAAAATATACATAGCGGGGGGAAAATGGGCAGGAGGCTCACCTGACGTTAAGTGATACCACCGCCCATAGGCACGCTCGTTCGTAAACATCGGTAGAGTGGGCAGTATTACCTCGACATCCGATGATGAAACTCGTCTGCAGGTCAAGACAACTCCTCTGAACAGTTTCCGTGGTAAATAGAAGAATTATTATTAAAAAAAGCCCAGCTGAAATAAGTTTGAAGTCAATAAATGATTGGTTTAATAAACAATATTTTTCTGCTACAGATTCGTTTTGAGTAAAGACGATCTCATAATTTCACACTGATACTTAAAAGTAAATTATAAAATAAGAACTTAACCTTATTGTCACCGTATGCGAAACCTGATTACTGTCAGCTATCATTTTCCTACGTCACTGAACACGCGTGTTGTTGTGGAGTCATATTGAATTCAAACACGCACAATGCTAAACCGTTTATCCTGTCAATTTGGTAATAATCCGGCAATTTAATGATACCAGTAGATGTTTGATCTAGTCTGTATTTGGGAGTCATACAGCATATTAATGATAATTGAGCTATGAAGATGATGAGAGGCATCATTAACAAATCGGACTTGCTAAAAAGTCAAATGTAATGAGCGTCCGTTGGATGTGTGGTGAATTTGTTTAAATATTTGTAATATAATATAGGTAGTTTATAAATAATGTTAACTGCAAATTCTAAAAATTACACTGTTCTAAAAAAAAATTTTATTATAAAATGTTCAATTCTACTATAACTATTTTATGTACAAGTAAGTAAAGTACTAGGCTATTGTATATGTTTTAAGTAATTTATAAAGGATCAGTGTTAGACACAGAATGCTAAGGCCCTACTAGTTTATTAAGAAAAGAAATAATCACGAAACAGATACTGAAATCAGATCCTGGTAGCATAAGATGGTCACCCCACATATAAGGCAAAATAAATAACAATTTCCCTAATATGTTTTTCCAGATAATGGCTGGTTCACATCCTTGTTTATATTTTTGTTAACGCGTATTGAATATTCATTGCAAATAGGTTTCGCAACGTCAACTCCGAAATTAGGTGTATAAAGCAATTTTATAATATTGAATGATTTAAAAAAACGCCTGCTAAAAATTTCCAAGCAATTTAGCATTTCTTCACCGGTTGAAATTTAAACACAAAGTGAAAAACAGTGTAATACGAAGCCTTACAAAAATAATAGACGTGAACACTAAAATAAGTTTAAATCAAACATTTGTGATGACAAATGGGTTAAAAAGACTTTAAGAAAGTTTACCTGGAATGGACCAGTGGGAAGAAGAAATAGAGGACACTCACCAGAAAGCAGGGAAAAAGAAATAAAAGAGATAGCGGGGGAGATTTGAAACAATAGCGATGATGAGAGACAAGTGGAAGAATTTGGAAGAGGCCTTCACTCCGTCCGAGGTCGTGTACTTATATTAATATAATTCCATATAGGTACTCGAATATATTTTTATTTTATTTAGCCACCTTATCTGGGGCTACAGATCACTACCGCATCGTATTGTTAAATTGGTGATTAGATTTTTAAAGGCACAGTGTAATAAAAGAGGGTTCTTGGTTTTGACTTTGAATAGATAGACGCACGATATCACTAATCTAACCTCGGACATTAGCACTACGGATATCGAGATAAAGCGTTCGCTTTTTTGCTATTGGAAGTTACATAGTACCAGCGCTGATCCGTACCAACATTTTGTAAAAAAAATCTTTGCAATTTAAAAGAGTAGCGGAGAAAGCTGACTGTTCTTTTAGACCCTTGGTTTGATAACTGCCATTGAATTAATATCCCAGAGTTTATGAATAAATTATATTTTGTTAGTAGAGTTAATTAATGTTTAAAATATGATTTAGTAAAAAACATTGGCACTTCTTAAAAATTAATTAATAATTATCATTTATTTATTTACAGTTCATTACCTTATAAGAAGACAGACATATAAAAAAGCAGGCTACATAAGTTAGTAGGTAACGGGCGGCCTTATCGCTAACAAACGCTTTCTTCCAGGTAACCCTAGTATGGAAAAATAAAAAAGAAACACCTACAGAGGGTAAAATACAAGAAGTGCATAAATAATTGACAAATAAGAACATAATATTTTATGTTATTAAATAAAAATAATAATAATAATATAAACAGAAATGTAAATGTAAATATATATATATATAAGGAGTTAATTAAGAGACAGAAGATAATTTTTTTTTTATAGAACGGGGGGCAAACGGGCAGAAGGCTCACCTGATGTTAAGTGATACCGCCGCCCATGGACACTCCCAATGCCAGAAGGCTCGCGAGTGCGTTGCCGGCCTTTTAAGAATTGGTACGCTCTTTTCTTGAAGGACCCTAAGTCGAATTGGTTCGGGAATACTTCAGTGGGCAGCTGGTTCCACATAGTGGTGGTGCGCGGCAAAAACTGCCTTGAAAAACGCTCAGTTGTGGAACGTCGGACGTCGAGGTGATACGGGTGGAATTTCGTATTCTGCCTCGACGTCCGATGATGAAACTCAGCTGCAGGTATTAATCCGAACAACTCCTCTGAACACTCTCCATGGTAAATGCGGTAGAAGATGCAGAGTGACCCCACATCTCTACGCAACGCCAAAGGATCAAGCCGCTCGGAGAGGGATTGGTCGTCGACGATTCGAACCGCTCTGCGTTGTATACGGTCAAGTGGAAGGAGCTGGTACTGGGGAGCCCCCGCCCAGAGGTGAGAGCAGTACTCCATGTGGGGCCGAATTGTATTATAAATGATCAAAAGAAGATTTTAAATGCATACTTTAAATAAAAGTTATTAAAACTTATGATTTTTTTATACAATTTATGCATATTTTACACAGAATTCAAACCTTCGACCACCTACATAATCCACTACACGGCGGTGTTAAAATAAAACTTATTATGAATATGAGATATAAATTAACATATTTTAAAATAATGAGGACTTCATATGAATTATAAATTCAAATTACTTGTTCAGTTCGCTTCTTGAACGAAAATTAATGTTGAATAACTCTACTTAATTTACCGAAGTTTTGCGTGAACTTTTATTTTTACTCGAAATATAAAAGATTTCTCAAATAAATACGAGGATGACTTACAAATTACTTTCATTTCTCAACTTACATTCATTAAACATAATTTTGAACCTTTCACTTATTTTTGTTTTTATTTATTTGTGCAATGTTTTTTTTTGACTCTGGCACGGTTTGTGCATTAGCCAGCGTCAAGTATAAGATTTTTTATAATTCGTGCTTGCTTTAGAACTTCGACCGTGTCCTCGATGTATGGTTAAGCACTCGCCCGGTACCGCACAACCCTCCCAAAGGCCGAGAACATAATATTTAAATTAAATTAAAACTTGCCCTCAAACCGGGAATCGAACTTGGTACCCCTCACCTAGCTGCCACTTAATAAGACCGCTAGGCTATGAGGCCCCTTTGTGCAATGTTATGCAATTGGCCGTGTTCTTGCATTCGTAACCTATTAATAATTATAATACTAGCTTATATGGTGTATCAATGACAGCATGAGAAAACCTAAAGACAAGATTTAGATTCTCCCTTATGTCACAAATTATTGGATTTGACGTACGGAAGAGTCATACTTAGCGCTCTTTCTGAATCCGTAACTTTAATATGCTGATAATATAAGATTCTACTCGTTCCTATTTATAATTTAAGTGTAAATAATTTACACTTTGGATTCTGATCCTATCCTATAAGCTTTGGAATCAATTCTTTAGTGGAATTCATTATTTATTTTAGCTAAGTTTCATATTTTTAGAGGTATCGAATAGTGAACAAAAAAAATGCGAGAAAACCTGCATACCTTACACTCAAAAGCTCGATGGCACAAAAGCCCAAATACACAAAAGAACCTAATAGGCAATTACAAAATATAATTATAACGAAACAGGTAAAGAAATTTGAGGCCAAAATCCTTATTGGATATTATCGTGTAAATACAAATGCGCTTTTTACTCTTCAAATAGCGTACAATCACTTTACTTTGCGGTGATATACATGACGTGTACATTGCATAGATTAAAAAGCAGACTTTTATAATTACTATGACCAAAGAATGAGTCACGGCTTATTAAGATATATCTGATAAATCAAGTTTGTAATTTTTAATGATAAGTCTTCTGACGGTTCTCAGAAATGAAACACATGAAATAAGCAACAACATTTATACACAATAAAACAACAATAACAACATACAATCAACAACAAAATAAATAAATCAACTACAACATGAAGACAGTTGAAAATGACTTAAATTTAATATTTACAAGGCTCAATATTGACCAAAAAATTATTTAATGATGCCCTTTGTGGTGGTGGTGAATTGTTTTGTATACGGGAATCTTCACTGGGTAGGGTTGTGGTACGTGAACTGTGACTGTTTTCTCTATTCTGATTGGCACATGTTTTTCCACGGGATATGGGACGTGCTTTACAACTGGGTAAGGTACCGGCTTTTCAATGGGAATTGAAATTTCAGTCTCAACGGGTACCGCTACAGGTTTGTGTACTGGTACTTTAACTGGGTATGGCTGTGGTACTCCAATTAAGATGGGTTTGGGCACGTTGATATGTAATGGCTTGTGGATCGGTACAGTGACATGCTTGTACAGTGGCACTTCAACTGGGTGCTCCTCATCGGTGTGCTCACCAACTGGTATAGCTTCAACGTTACTCAAATCGTGGCCTCCGTGTCCAAAGTCATGGCCTCCATCTTCTAGGAGGAATCCCTGGCTGTGCCCATACCCTTGCTGGCCTCCATCAGAACCGCTGAAGTCTTGGTGGCCTCCAAGATCGTGAGCAGCTTGAAGATAGGTATCACCTCCAAAATTATTCAGTAAAGGTCCATGTCCGTGGCCTAATCCAAATTGATTTTGGCCCAAATTCTGACCATGGCCCGTTAGCGCAACAGTATAGTCGTTACCTTGTCCTCCAGAAAAATCGTGTCCTTGTCCACCCGAGAAGCCGTGACTTTGTCCTCCAGAAAAATCGTGTCCCTGTCCACCCGAGAAGCCGTGACCTTGCCCTCCTGAGAAGTCATGTCCCTGCCCACCTGAGAAGTCATGTCCCTGGCCTCCTGAGAAGTCATGTCCCTGCCCACCTGAGAAGTCGTGTCCCTGTCCACCTGAGAAGTCTTGTCCTTGTCCAGAAATATCATGGCCGAAACTTTGGCCTTGTGCGATGTCATGCCCCTGGCTGGAGAAGTCGTTTCCTACTAATGGAGCTGTATACTGGTTACCACCATCCTGGTTGTGTCCTCCATTGTCGAGGCTATCGTAACCAGCGTGACATGTGACTGCTAAAGCCACCAAACAAATCTGGAAAAACCAAACAATTATAAGTAGGTCGAATTGTTTTCCACTAAAATAATGTCACACAGATATAGTAATCCAATGTAACAAAACTGTATGATGTGCATCAAATTCATAAGTTGGTAGTCTATAAATTAGGTTTAAAGCGCGTAACTAAGATGGAATTTATTGCACTTAAAAACATCGGAGGCGGAATATGAAACAAGCTGTTGTTCGCTTCACCGAAAAAATATTATATTTAGCGAGAAAATTCCGAGATCCGCTTAACTTGTTAAAATGGATCGCATTAAAATGCCAGTAGAAGTAACAATTTTATAAAAGTTTTTAATTTACGGCATATGAGAGTGGTGAAAAATTGTGTGGAAAAATGTCCAGCTGCCGAAAGTGTTTTAAAATAACATTGTTAGTTTGAACATTAAAAAAGTTTGCTAAAAATTATTTGACCCTTAAATTATTTATAGTAAGTTTTCTATAAATTATTAATTGCTAAAAAGTCTACATCTAAAAATAATACGAATCTAAAATTATGAATTTAAACTTCCTATAAAATTTATTAACAATAAATTTTCTTTAATCTCTCTAAATTGGATTCCAAATTTAAACATGTTTGATTTTCAAACACCGACCTTGAAATTCATGATGCTTCATTTCCTGTTTCTTACCACAGAGTAGCCGCAATTATGTTATTACACTGACCAGAGATTATGTGAGCACTCCAGTCCAGTTTTATTTGCAAAAAAGTTCATACTTTCGCGTACATTCACTTGCATCTTTACCGCTTATGTAAGATACATTTCAAACTATAAATATCTTTGTTTTGCTTTAGTTTTAAATAATTGGCAGTGTGAATAAAAAAAACGTAACGATACTAGAGCAGAGATTATAGTTATATAATTTCATTCTATCAACTATTGTTACAAAGTCGGTCAACCGTGATCTGTCATTTCTCTATTTTTGGCCAATATTCATTTCCGTACATTGGACGTTGTGTGATTTTACAATACAGGCTGATTTAAAAAAATATTCGCGAAATATTTGAATTACGAACGTCTAGCCTATAGTTTGTTTTTTCATATTTGAATTCGATTATCAGAAGGATTTTTTACAAAAGTTTAAAATTAGAACAATAAAATTCCTAACAATATATTATTGACCAATTCTATGAAGGTTTCACCAGTTTCCAATACTTGTTGGCTTGGAGGCATGCAATTTCTGTACTCTATGGAATGCTCCAATACAGGCGCCAATTGTGGTATACATATGTTTCTTCAATCCCAATTTAAGATGTTTGATAAAGTAGTGTATAAAATTAATCATAATTATGTTTATTAATATATTTTAATTATTTATATAGACATTGAAAATACGTTGTTCTGATAACCCCGTTAAAACGGCCTAATATCAGATGATAGGTTACTGTTAACTTTCACGGATTTTTAAATAGTCAACATCTCTCATTTACGATTAAACGGTTCCACCATTGCTCATTAAACGAAGGTACTTTCACATAATAGTTAACTAGTTTATCTAGATAAAGTGAAAGCTGAAGGACATTCACTATCGGAAAGGCAAACCTTACAATGTCTAAATCGTTATACACTAAGTCAAATTATATACTGCTATAGCGACCCCGGATCTTTAGCCTCGTAGAATTGTTTCTACAAGGCTGCGGACCGAAAAGGTTTTAGAGGGTATTTGCCTCCCAGTCTCTTCAGAGACGAACACTGAACCCACAGAATCACTGCTATTCATAGCAGTGATTCTGTGGGTGGAGTCCCACATACTGCTTTCGGCTGCTTCCCACTTATCCCGGCTGTAAACCTATGGACTTTCTTTTTATGTGGTCATTTAACATTTGCTCGAACGGTAAAGGAAAACATCATGAGGAAACCGGCTTGCCTTACACCCAACACGTCGCGTGTGTCAGGCACAGGAGGCTGATGACCTACTTGCCTATTCCATTTACAGATCATGGAACAGATACTGAAATCTGAGGCCCAGACCTTAAAAGGATGTAGCGCTACTGATTTATTTATTTATTTATTATCTATATCCAACGACTCGTCATTACTAGTAAGTAGTTGTTGTTGTTGAATTTTTTGATAGAAAAACTGAAACCCCTATCTTTCTATTCGCAATTAACGCTGTAATGGAAATTTTTGAGAATAAATTGGCAATGCGGAAGTGTCGTACGTTAATCACAAAAGCTGATAGCTAATAATAAAATTAAAAGGTTCGAATGACTTTAATTTGAATATATCACAGCTACCGCTACCGTTGAATTAAAAGTTATGTTCGCAAATATAAAAAGTAGAAACAAAATTTTCATACAAAAAATTGTCTAATAAATTCGTTTTCATTTTCTCCATATATGCCTTTATATCATAATAACTGAAAACTTGCCAAATATTTGAATCCATCGCACAAACACGAGAAAGATTTGTAAATAAGCCGTTGAAACGAATCGATAGTGATGTTCTATACTTTCGATACTCTACTATGATTGTAAGCTCTGGACATGGATTATTAATAATACACAATATTTACACACATTATTAGAAATATAGTTAATATTAGATTAATTCGTCTTTAACAGCTTTAGGTCCTATGAAAAGGTCCTTCTAAGTAATTTTTAAATACATTTTTTTTTGATTTTAAATGAGCCTCTTGGAAAATTACTTTGACGCGTATGTTTTTATATTTAAATAAAACTTCTGTACATTATTAGAATGAAATTAAATTTGAAACGTTTCCTGTATATTACTATCCGTCTGCTTCCTGCTGTCTATAAACGTTTACTAGACAGAGTATTTTTTATTCCAAATTAAATTAAATATAAATAACATCATTTGCAAGCTACAGAGGAACACTAAGGCCAATAGGTATTCTAGAACATCAATCAAACTAGAATCTAGTTATAAGATCTACAATAAAGGGGGGAGATTCCCCGCGGAGAATTACCTAAAAACGCTACATTAAATAATTCATTTAGTTGGGAAAATAACAATATAAATAAAATATATGAAAACTTCCAGTCATAAATTTAACACTTTCATAACGCAGATGCTAAATTTCAAAGTCTAGAAAACCCAAAGCCACTGCAATTTTAAACTCGTTACCCGACACTCTATGGCTTTATCCCTGAGGAACTTTACAATTTTTCACAGTAGAATTATGTTGTACTAGGTAAAATTAATTTTGTCTGTATTTCAAGAAATCTGTCAGCATTTTTAGTTTTGAAATATTAATTTACATCTTTAGAATGATGCTCGAGGTTTGATAAGAAATAAAAATATGCTACTGCTCGATTTAGTTAAAGAAAACTTGAAAAATATTATTTTCTTAAGTATAGGTACATATTTCTGCTATATGTATTTTAAATCATGCCAGTTATTAACTTATGAACTCATAACTAATACTCTTTGAAATATTTATGTTTTTGTCATATAATTTATTTTCATAGATAATAATAAAGCACGTTTATTATTTATATTACATCCTTTGATCGCAACCTCTTCACGTATAAAGGCTTCTTCCAATGTTTTCCAAATATCTCTATCCAAGGTTTTCTTTCCCTATATACGACAAAAAATTTCACTACAGACCCATAATCAGCCTTAATAAAGTATTTTAAACGAAATCACTGATTTATGTAATTTCATGATATGTCAAAAAAACGAATGAGCCAAAAAACACAATTTTCGGAGCACTAGACAATGTAGATATAATTTAAATATATTTCGGTGAATATTATCTTTGCGAAGCTACGAAATCAGCTTAGCTACGCATAAGAAGATTCTTCGAAATCCGCTAAGCTCCAAAAATAAGTATTATTCTAACGTAAACGTGAAATTAATTCACAAATATTTTTACATACATTTTAGAAAAATATTAAGAACATTTATGCGAAGAAAGCTTTATGGAATATCATAACTTCATTACGCTTTTAAAGCATTAAAAATTCACTACGCTTTAGAAAACAATAATACAAATAACGTGTCATACTTGTCTCCATTATATATCATTTATTATTATAACATACGGTGATTTTCTAATAGATAAATCTAGATCTCAAAACAGAGATTATAAAAAAAATAGGATTAAATGAATCGATACCGACAGTTGTACACAACACTAAGACATGAGCAAATACGTAGAAATTGAATTTGTGGACCAATATTCAATCGACTACATCTAAACGGCGGAGTAATCGTTCAATCGACTTCCGACTATTCCGAAGGCTTTCGCTCTGTTGGTTTTTTTTTGATGGTAAAGACGTTTATACTCGTAGTTCGCTGGAGTATTCAAGAACGCTTAAATACATGTGAAGAGGAGTTTTTACCGGCTCGAGGGGTTTTGGAGTATTGGGAGTCGTGGAAAATTTATAACTGCTTAACTCGACTTGTCTGGAAAAATCCTAAAATGGTTTGTTTGACTGCTGAGATGCAATTACCATCTCCGTTGTACAGGGGTCTTTTGGAAGTGAAATTTCACCGTTACAAAGTAAGATTATTAACAGTCTGAGGTCCAGCTATAGATCAATTAAAGACAACCTAACTTTATGCATAAAAAATATGTCATTGTGATACCAGAGATATTTGTCAACACTAGTTGACAACTGTTAGTGATTACAACAACAATATCTAGTAAAATTAAATTTTTTCGAAGAGTGTAAAATGTTTTCTAAAAAAAATTTAATCTAGAACCTAGATACTTAAGTATGAATGTGTAAGTGTTTAATCATATGTGGTGCTTTATACTTGTTCATACATACATAATCTTCCTAATATATAGATACTAGCTGACCCGGCAAACGTTGTTTTACTATATATATTATTTCTAAGAAACATTGGTTTAGTTCAATAAAAATAACTATGTCAATAAAAAAATAGGGGTTCATCGTAGAGGTGTGGAAATTAAGGGTTGTATGTATTTTTGTTTGTATGTATCATGCAAAAATAAAAACGAAAAAAAATCTTAAAAATAAAAATATTTTTTTTGGGGTGGCCACCATTTCACTTAGGGTTTGAAATATAGATAGTAGCTGATTCTCAAACTTACTGAATATGCATAAAAAATTTCATAAGAATCGCTCGAGCTGTTTCGGAGGAGTATAAAAAAATAGTGTAGTCTCTATCCTTCCCGTTCATAGTTGATAAAACCGCAAATAGCGAAACTATCGTGCGGTTATAGACATAACCACCCTTCACTATTAATGAACTAGTTATCGAGCACGGAATTGCCTCCACATGAATACTAATACTGCTTCTCATCAGTACTAAGCTCCCGGCTAATGTGCCGACACAAATGTTCACTTACAACGACTGTTTTATACCAAACTATATTCACTCCTATTACTAAGGGGTGTGGGTGATTTTCGCATGTATAGTTTTGTAATTTATGTTGTGATACGACGGTTTACTAATGACTCATTAAGTCAATAAGTCTACAAAGTAGAATAAAACTGTTTCATTACATATGAAAAATATATGAATATTAGGCAGAACCGAACAGAATATTAGACTTTATGTTTTATGATTTTTTTCAGCGTGCGACTCTCATCCTTGAGGTCGTAGGTTCGTTCCCGGCTGTGCACCAATGTGTATGTGTGGAATTTATGTCTATGTGCGCATATAACTTTTGCTCGAACGGCGAAGGAAAACAAACGACGGCGTGTGTTAGGCACAGGCTGATCACCTACTTGCTCATTAGATTGACAAATGATCATGTAATATAAACAGAAATTTGAGGCCCAGACCTAAAAAGGTTGTAGTGCTACTGTTTTTTTTAGTTATTAACAATTTATTCGCATATCCTTTACGGTTTTACTTTAGTATTCCGTTTCATTGTCATCTATCCAGGGAAGGTCAAATTCAAATAAACTATCGCAAATTATTAAAAAATATCATCTGTAACCCAAAAGAATATGGGGCATAGGGAAAATTCCGGGTCTAATTATTAGACACTCAATAGTTTCTTTGATACAATTTGATACACTTATTACATAAATAATTGTTAAGACTAGATTGTAAGTGAAAGTACTAACAATGAGTCATAAAAGTGTCGGAAAGGATGACTTAATGACATGCTCAGAACATGAAACAGTATTTACAGAACATTAATGTTTCAATTAACTTTATTAATTACACATTTGAGAAATCACATGTTTTTTTTTTATGTAATAGGAGGCAAACGAGCAGGAGGCTCACCTGATGTTAAGTGATACCGCCGCCCATGGACACTCACAATGCCAGAAGGCTCGCAAGTGCGTTGCCGGCCTTTCAAGAATTGGTACGCTCTTTTCTTGAAGGACCCTAAGTCGAATTGGTTTGGAAATACTTCTGTGGGCAGCAGGTTCCACAAAGTGGTGGTGCGCGGCAAAAACTGCATTATAAAACGCTCAGTTGTGGAACGACGGACGTCGAGGTGATACGGATGGTATTTTGTATTTTGCCGATTATGATGATTACGTCCGATGATGAAACTCAGCTGCAGGTATTAGACCGAACAACTCCTCTGAACACTCTCCATGGTACATGCGGTAGAAGATGCAGAGAGATCCCACATCTCTATGCAACGCCAAGGGATCAAGCCGCACGGAAAGTGCTGACGACTGGTCGTCGACGATTCGAACCGCTCTTCGTTGAATACGGTCATGTGGAAGGAGCTGGTACTGGGGAGCTCCAGCCCAGAGGTGTGAACAGAATTCCATGTGGGGCCGAATTTGCGCTTTATAGAGTTGCAAGCGGTGGCCCGGAGTGAAGTACCGTCTCGCCTTTAAA